TCTATCTATCTATCTATCTATCTATCTATCTATCTATCTATCTATCTATCTATCTATCATGTATACAGTATTTGGCTGGCATGTAGGCCCGAACGCACGCTAGAAGAAGGCACTAGATGATTGTGAGTCATCATGTGGTTGCTGGGAATTGAACTGAGGACCTCTGGACAAGCAGCCAGTGCTTTTAACTTCTGAGCCATCTGTTGGTATATATATATATATATATTTTAATGTATTCACCTTACCCTTGTTCATTCAAATACTGATTTCTCCCCCACCCCACCCCAACTCTCTGGTTTCAATTCGGATATTGCATTGTGATACTCATTCTAAGCATCCTGTCTCAACTCAACACAAAATAAAGCAACTAGACACAATGTTGAGCAGGGAGGAGCCAGAGGACAGGAAAGAGGGGAGGAGTGAGAAGGCAGGAGTGGAGTGGGAGAAGGGGCAAGAGGAGAGCTAGGAGAGTAGAGCTGGAGGAGAGATCTTGGAGGACGTGGAGCATGAACCAGACCTAAGATTTCACAAAAAGCAAGTATAATGTGGGAAATCTAAATGTTAGGAAACTGAGGGCTTCGAGGTTTAGGAGGGAGTAAATATTGCCCAGCATTGTGTTCTAGGTTAACTAAAAACCCAGTCTCTGTGTGGTGATTTGGTTATACAGCTGTTTAAGATTAGCAGCAATCTTTACTAGAAGATAAACCATTAGTAAATATTAATAAACATCTACAACAAATAATAAATATTAATCGTCTCCTATAACAGACATCTCTCCAGCCCAACACAGGCTTTCCTTATATAGTTCAGGCTGACCTTGAACTTACTATGCAATAGGGGCTGGCTCAAACTTCAGGCAGTTTTGCCTTCTCTTCAAAGCCTGTCCTCACAGGTGTAAGCCACTGTGCCCTGTTTTACTTTTTGTTTTGCATGTGAGGGAGTGGCCACACATGTGCTATGCTATACATGAGGTCAGATGATAATGTTCTGGAGTTATCCACAATGGGTTTTAGGAGTCATATTCAGATTTTCAGGCTTGTAGGGGCAAGAGCCTTTACCCGCTTATCCATCTCATCCATAATTGCATCTCATTGGATACAATTATATAATTTTTATGAGATACTAAATGATGTTTGTTTTTTGAAGACTGGGTCTCACCAGAACTCTGGCTGTCTTGGAACTCTCTGTGTAGACCAGGCTGCCCTTGAACTTACAGAAACCCATCTGACTCTGCCTCCCAGAGTGCTGGGACCAAAGGCACCCACCTCCATCACCTGCCCACTTGCAAATTTGTGAGTTTATAGTTTTCATCAAAATTGGAAAATTTTCAGATACTATTTATCCATGTATTTTTGTCTTCTGCTTCCTCTTCTCTGAGATTCAAATTACATATGTATTATGCTGCTTAAAATTGACCTTCAGGTCACTCATATTTCTAATTTTATTTTAGCTTTTCACTCTCTAGCCCAGGCTATCCTTGAACTTGCAGCAATCCACCTATCTCAGCCTCAAAAAACCTAAGTGCTGTTTTTAGAGGCATGAGCCATCACATTTTACTCATGCTTTTTAAAATTTAAAACTGCCAGGTGGTGGTGGAACATGCCTTTAATAGCAGCACTTGGGAGGCAGACGCAGGAAGATTGAATTTGAGTCCAACCTGGTCTACAAAGTGAGTTCTAGGACATTCATGGTTACACAGAGATCTGTCTCAAAAAATAAAAATTTTATTTTATATTAAATATCTTACAGGGGCGAGAGAGAGCGAGAGCAGCGCTCAGCAGTTAAAAGCGCTTTCTGCTCTTGCAGAACATCTGGGCTTCATTCCTAACCCCCACCCCCACCTCACAACCTTTTGAACTCCAGTTGCATAGGAGAGGATATGATGCCCCCTTTAGGCCTCTTCTGGAACTGCATGCACACATTACACAGCCACACATGGAAACACCCCACAAAAAAATTTAAATATCTTCTCTCTTTCTCTCTTGTAAGACAGAATTTCTGTGTAGCCCTCATTGTCCTGGAATTCACTCTGTAGACCTGGCTGGCCTTGAACTCAGAGATCCACCTGCCTCTGCCTCCTGAGTGCTGAGATTACAGGTGTGAGCCACCACCTGGCTAATAAGCTTACTTATTCAGTTATACTTTTTTTTTCTACTAAAAGTTCAAGCTTTCCTACTAATTTCTATTTTAGATTTTTGTGACAAGGTCTTACTTTGTATGCTAAGATCAAACATTTTTTTTTTTTTTGAGACAGGGTTTCTCTGTGTGTAGCTTTGGCTGTCTTAGACTCTCTTTGTAGACCGGACTGGCCTGGAAGTCAGAGATCCGTCTGCCTCTGCCTTCCCGAGTGCTGGGATTCCAGGCGTGTGCCAAACTCTTGACCCTCCTGCCCATACCTTCTGAGTGCTGAGATACAGGCATGCTTCTCCCAGAGCTTTTGAGCAGGAGTACCTTCCAGGAAAACCCTTACCATGCCTGTGTCTGCTAACTCTAGCATCGGAGTCAGTTCTGGATCAATTTCCAGAACAGAACTGCTCTCTCTCTGACTAGTGACCAAATTCCCTTGCTGTTTACACTGGTAGCCTGGGAGTGCATACCAGACAATCTGAACTTCCCTCTTGGGAGTTTCATGCAGACTATGCATTTTTTTGGAGGTGCAAGGAAGTTACTTGGTAATACTTTGCTCCATGTAAGTCCTGTTTTTATGATGTTAGGTGGGCCCTGAGCATTGGTTAGGGCTGTTACCAAAGGCTAGACCTTTCTGAACACTCTACCTTGTGCTATGCACACTAAGCTTTTCCACTTGATTCTGGTTCCTGCCCTTTTTAGAACTGCGGAATTTGCGTAGTAGTCTACTGCCGATTTCTGGGATTCCCCTTTGGCCGAGTTCTCCTTCCTGGACTCTGGCTGCTCCATCTCCTGCTACTAAGGAGGCCTTGAGGGTTCAACTCAACATACATAGATGCAGCCAGACCAACCGCAGATCTCAAAGCTAAAACATACACAAACCTGCCTGTACACATGCCTCATGCCCTATACGAACAGTGACTTTAAAAGAGTCAGTGGCTTTGGTGTTTTCGTGTCTGATACACAGTAAGGATCTAGTGGAAATTCCAAACAATGCATGAAGGGACTCTGGCCAGCTAGATCGTGGTAAGCATGGTTCTGGCAGGCCTTGCCCTTTCCCCCATTCCCTCTGCCTTGCTAAAAACCATTAGATTCCATTCCCAAAGCTAGCCACCAAAGTCTATTCCCTTATTTGGCCACTTCCTCCTTCAGAGGCTGACTATCAAGGTCCAGCTATCAAAAGCCACCTTGGCATCACCTAATTAACATGCCCAAACAAAATATACCACCACATCCTAGCCCATTCTAACACAGACCTCCTCTTTTTCTCTTAAAAGTTCAACCTGCAAGGTCATTGGCTGCTGCTTTTCTGCCCGAGTCAGAAAGCAGCCACTCTAACTTGTCTTCCCCGCTTAATAAAGGATCTCTCTATAAAAACAGGTGTTTGGGTGAGGTTAGTGCCTAATCCGGGTGCGAAAGGGAAATCTGTTCTCCGAACAATGCTCACATGGCTACTTGCTTTCTGGGTGTGAGGAGGAAATTGTAGCCCCGGATTCACCATATCCCATGACAGTCCTGGGAAAGTGATCACTGCCTAGATGCACATCGCAGGGCGGGCTATCGCCAAGACCATTTAACTGGGTATATATGCCTGCAGCTCCAGTCCCAGAGAGATGATGTCAGGCGCACAATTCTATAGATCAGTGAGAAAAGTGGATCCACGTGCGAAGAAATGTAGTCATAGGAAAGTCGTCGACAGTGTAGACAGAATCTTGTGTCCAGGCTGGCTTGCAGCCTCTTCAGCAGGGCCTTACTGCACGTTACTCTGGAATGTCATCGCAGCCTGGGAATTTTCTTTTTTGGAGGCAGGAGTGAGGATTAGAAGTGGCCTCAGGGACCCGCCTGGCTCGGCATCCCGAGTGCTGCAAACAAAGGCGTGCACTCTCTGGCCAGACTCACATTTCTAAGCCGGCAGAAAGTGTAGCGCCGGGAGCAGGGCGGGACCGGGTGAAAGGAGCGGAGCTTGCTTTGAGTTGCGCCGGGATGGAGAACACGCAATTCACTTCGCAGCGTGGGAAGGGGTCTATAAAGCGAATGAGAACGTAGCGGAAAACCAGCGCTCCACTTCATCTGATCCGACTTCCCCTTCCCCAAGAATCGGGCTTCCCGTCCCGAGGCCACGTCTCTGTCCTCAGCAGTTCCAACTGAGACGCTGCCGCCGGATCTCAGCACTGCTGGTACAGGTCCCTGCCTCTTTTCGGCACGGCCGGCCGTTCCTCTCCGAGGTTCTGGCCTCGGTTTCCCGGGGGCGGATTTCCAGGCGCAGGTCTAGAGCGTCAGCATTCCAGCACGGCGGCCCAGCTCCCTTTAACCCCGTTCCTATTCTGGAGGACGACCGGCGTAAGCTCACAGGATTCCAACCAGCGGCGGACGGAGGGGCGGGACTCTGTGGTGGAGGCGGAGCCTGAGGAAGAAAGCAAGCCTTGGTTGGGGGTGGAGCTAGGGCCGGTGCCTGAACTTTCTGCGGAAGAGCCGGGACTTCCTTGCACCGGAAGCGGAAATAGAGGCACACAAACTGGCCTCTGAGGAGGTGGAGCTAGGCAGCGGGACCCGGAAGCATTTATCTACGGCCCGCCCCTCCCGTCCAATAGTGCGGCGGAGGGACGAGCTACTTCCTTTCTGCGCTCCCGCTGGACCAGCGAGCAGGTAGGCCGCGAGGCGCTCTGTGGGCGCGACCTGGGCCGGGTCGGGCGCGGTGGCATGGCTGGGAGCGCTCGGGAATGGGTCTGGCTAGGGCCGCTGACTCGGCATGCCGGCCTGGCCAGTCTCATGACCCGGGTGGTGATTCTGTAGGTACGGCCTCGACATGCAGAACGACGCCGGCGAGTTCGTGGACCTATACGTGCCGCGGAAATGGTGAGTCTGAGGTCCTCCCTTTATGGGGCCCCATCAGCCCGCTTTACCCACCGCCTTTCACCTTTTTTCTTTCTCGGCTTGCTACACGCACGTGCTTTTTTTCCTCAGCTCCGCGAGCAACCGCATCATTGGTGCCAAGGACCACGCGTCCATCCAGTTGAATGTGGCTGAGGTGAGCTGGGAACCCGATGGTGAGGCTTGTCCCCGGGGTAACGAATGAGGCACCTAGGCCTCAGAGCCTGGGTTCTCGTATTGGTGTTTGCTAACATTCAGGGTAGACTTAAAGCGTGGGGTGGGGTCGAATCTCCCAATCGATTTCTCTCTACAGGTTGACAAGGTCACAGGCCGGTTTAATGGCCAGTATAAAACCTATGCTATTTGCGGGGCCATTCGCAGGATGGTGAGTTTATTTGATTACGTCGACTTTTGAGCTTTGATGGTGGTGACTCTTCCTCTGGAAGAAATGGTTGGCACTTGGTAGGTCGGTCAGGCTTGCTGTTTGCTTTTCGTTTCCCCTTTCTTGACCCTCTCAGACATGGAGGGCTGCTGTAGGCAGACTGAGTTTCACCTTTATGGGAAACTCATCTTACCTCCCCTTGGTGTGGCTACAGATTTGGGTGCATGTTCTGCCATGCTAAGCCGGGACCCAGTCCTGTGGGGATAATCAAGGATTCTTTTTTTTTTTTAAAAAAGGGCGAGTCAGATGATTCTATTCTCCGGTTGGCTAAAGCTGATGGAATTGTCTCAAAGTAAGTGTGTTTGGGGGGGAACTCACACTGGGGTTGAGTGGACTGCGACTTCCCAGTAGTTAAAGTTTCTAATACTATTTTCCTTTCTTTGTTAGGAACTTTTGATCAGATGAGGTCGGGAATATTTGTCATAAATAAAAGTGAGAAAGTATCTCTGTCTGCTTTTGGTGTGTGGCTGGTGTTTTTATTGTGACCAGAACAGAGAGGCAGTACACTCATCTCAAGGTAGACAAACTAAGAAGTATGTTGCAAAAACAAGTTTTACTTTAACAAAAACATTTAAACATCCATTCAAAACCTATCAGACACACAACATTCTGAGGTCAGATATTCTCACACAGTTGTGTCCACTATTGGGTGCTAAGGGTGCAGCACCAGGTCTGTGGCATTGGGTCACAGTCCAGCTGGACACCAGGGATATATTCAGATTTCTGGACTCAGTCTATAGGATTGTGGGTTCATCCTGTCATTTGGTTTAAGGGTTGGTTTTGTCACAACAGTCCTTGGTTCGACATGTCAGCAGCTCTTGGTATTAAGGAGGGCAGGGAAGGACTTCCAGCAGATAAGGTTGGTAGATGAATAAATCCTACTACATAAATAATACAGGCTTAGGTTATTACTATTTACCATCTTCAACATTACATCTAGAGGAAACTGCCCAGGCATGTCCTCCAAGGGTAGTCAAGTCAGATGACCCGTCTGCCAGGACCACTGTCTTGAGCCCAAGATACTCTAGGAGCATGAGCATACTTATACTGGCATAAACATGGTTGGGACCCAAGACTGGTTTGTCACTATCTTGCAAGGTTCCTATATAAGCTATTAGAGATTCTCTGGGCCTAGATGGTTGGACACTGTCCTGAGAGGCATGAACATTGTTGGGGCTGTGGTGAGGTGGATCCAAGCAGTTGCCAGCAGTGGGACTGACAGTGTACCATGGGCTAGTGACCAGTGTGCAGGAAGAGTGGAAGAACGGACCTAGGAAAGCAGAGGAGGGGCCTGTTCAGTGCTAGCAGAGGGGCAGTGGCACAGTGGATGCATAAGCAGGTTGGCCTAGACAGCATCTACTTTGCTCAGGAGTTAATGATGAACTCCCTGTTAGAGGTCAGTGCCTTCCTGCTTGAGTGTCAAGTGTGGTTTAGTCACCAGCAAACCTTATCAGGCTAGCTTCTGTTTGTATAGAGACCAAATTTCAAATTATAATACCTTTTCTACATGATATTGCTTAGGAAAGTCAGGAGCCTGAAGTCAGCAATTGTCTTAAAGGTCCAGTGATGCAGGGAAGTTTTCCTAGTAGAAGGTGGGGTGGGGTGGGTAGTGGTATTGGCCAAGCCCCACTGTATATGTGATGGCATAAGGACTTCACAGTGATAGATGCTTTAACAAGGTCTAAGAGTGAGCAAAGTCAGAATGGGTCAAGGTGTCTGTCCTTCCTTTCACCTTGACAGAAAAAATGTGTTGATGTAGGGAGCTCTGATGGGGTCAGGGTCTTGGCGTCATGCACAGCCATGTCCAGAAAAATGTGTTAAGTCTGGCAATTCCAGCATGTTCAGAAAAGTCTGGACACCAAGGTCTCCACAGGAATGGCTTCACGGCTGATGGGTTGCAAGGCCTAAACAAAATAAAGGCTGGACCTCAGGACTGACAGTGTAAACCAGGTTGGTCTCAGGCACATGAAAAACAAACCAAGCCCCACACTGTTCATTTACTCCAGGAAACTCCTCAGAAGTGCCTTGAGGTGCAATCAAAGTGCCACTTCGGGGTGAAGGTGAAGTTGCCAAGGAAACCCAGAGCCACCTTGGGCTGTGAGGAGAAGTGCAGTATTGGAGGAGGACAGGGACACTAGTCATCTCGGTGCTCTAGCCAAGCTGCATGCCTTCCTACCAGGCAGTCTTCCTGTGGGGTGCACTGTTCTGGACTAGAATTGCTGGGTGAGGCGTCTATAGTGAGGTAACACTTGGTTCTCAGGGAGGTACAGGGCCAGTTCCAAAGCCACAAGCACTGTGAACTCAAATCCAATGAGATCTCTCCTGTTGAACCGGAATCTTTCCTCCAGCTTCTGCAGTGAAGGAAGCAAAGGGTCTGGGTTAGCTCCACCTGTGGTCCCCATCTAAGGCTCAGTGCCTGGCACTGGGGTGCTCATGCTGTGCTCACACCTCTGCACTCACGTCAATCAGCTGCTTCACTTCGCTCTTGCGGAGGTCACTGCTGATCTTGGCAGCCAACAGAACGCAGGCACCAGCACACAGTTTGCGGTTCTGTTTGTTGAGCTTGCCCTGCAGTACAAGCTTCTCAAAGTACACGTAGGCCATGGACACGGTCACAGGCTCCAAGCTGCACTCTTCAGAAAGGTTCCGCATCTCACGCTTTAAACTGTGGGTGGGATGGGAGCCATGTCCCTGGGGCAAATCTATGTCATGAGACTACGATGAAGCAGCAGCCACCCTTTCATAGCTATGCCATGTGCTGTGGGCTGTCAGAAAAGACACTACGTTCTCCAAGGAGAAAGCCCAGAGCCAGGTTACGTGGCTGGGTAGGGGCATGCCTGGCCCTTCCTTACCTCCTAATTTTGCTCAATGTCAGTTTGATATGAGGGAACTTCTCCCTGAAGGTCTCGTTCATGTCCTTTTTGAGGTCTGCAGGCTTCACATACTCTATTACCGTGGTCTATAACAGAAGTAGAGGTATGTGGGGGCTAGATGCCTTGAGAGTGGATGCCCTGCAGCCTGGGTTTACAGATAGGGGCATGTGGGGCTTCAGAGAGGCACTTGGATTTCTGAGAATAAAATGGCTCAGCTTGTCTATGGATAGACAAGCCCAGGCTGCCAGGCATTCAGAGCTGATCCCAGGAGACTGTCCAGCATGGCTGGCTATCCTGCTTTGGCACACTGCCCTTGTCTATGGCCTTGTCCACCTACCTGCTGGTGCTAGGTGGGGACAAGGCACCGTGGGATGGTTGTTCTGGGCTTCTGGGCATGGAAGGGTACTTAGTTTATTCCCTGAACCCTGAGCAATGTTAAGGCCATGGAACTCACCATGTATGAAGCAAAGATAAGTACCCGTTTGTGCTTCCCACATGGCCACTGTGGGTCATCCAGGAGGTTGGGGTTGTATTCTACTGCATCTCCCCCGTCGCTTCCTATAAGCAGAAACAGCCATTTATACCCTAGATCCTGTTCAGAACCCATGCCACCTCTCCACCAGCACACCCAATAAAGATGTACCACATCACAGGAAGCCGTCAGGCTCTAAGAGGGGCTCCAGGTCAAGGGCCAGAGATTGGGTACAAGGAGCAACATCTGGACAGAGCCCCCTTCCCACACCGATCCTTTCCTTTGCCTGACTCAGGCAGAGCCTAGGGACACACTATCTGTAATCCTTTTCCTCTGAGAAGGATGAGTATGACTTATATTGTCTGCCCAATCACTGTCCCTAGCCCAGACAGTGCTACTGCCTCCCTTCTGCCATGGTGAAGGCACCTAGGCTACCTAGTTCTGTGCCAGCTGGTGTTGGCTTGGTAGGCATAGATTTGTGTCTTGAACCTGGTGGAGCCCGGGGAATGCTGGTCCGAGGCTGGGGCAACAAGCCATGGCTGTCATTCTTGTGTGTAACCAGGGCATTAGTAGGATACAGGAACTTTGCATAAGACACGACCTGGAAAAGCAATCACATTAAAGCTCAGTCCTGCTTCCCCAGGTCTGAAGTGCAACTTCTGCTCCCCTCCACCCTCCAGTTAGGAGCCTGAGGGTCATGCTGCTACCCACTTAGAGTAGGTACTCTCATGTCAGAATACCAGTTCCCATCCCTGGTCTGGGGTTTGCAGTCGGGCTAGTTTCCCTGTCTTGGAAGACCCGTGAGTGGCCTACTGGTCCAGAAGCAGGGCTAGATGTGGAGAACTCAAGTAGACAGCTGGGTCACCCACAGCTGCAATGGCCATGTATGGTGAACTCTTAGGCCCTTTCCTGGGGTGGCATGAGCCAGCTAGTGACAGGTATAACAGGATGTGTGGCTTGTTCCCAATACTGTGTCTTAGATTAATGTGTGAGGCGCCTATCTGCCTAACTCTGCTGGCCATTGGCTAGCCACAGGGCTCTTGCCTTTCCATCTGCTCCCAGCTCAACGCCTTCCAACTCAAAGACCATCTCGGAAGAAACAGAAACGCCGCCGGATGGGTGCCTCTGCTTCTGGCTGTCCACCCTCAGGTCACTGCAATGTATAGGAGAGGGAGGGCTGTAGTCCCCCTGCCTGTAGTCAGTGGGTGGATGCTCGGCCCATAGTGAATCCACATACAGCTTAGTCTGCTCGTCCAACCATGCAGAAGAGCCCCTGCCACAAAGCCCAGGAGTAGTTGGGCATGACCTTGGAAGGCATGGCAGAAGGTTTAACCTGAGGGAGTCTACATACATCTCATTTCTGCCCAGTGGCAGATGTCATCTGTCAAAGCACAAGGGAGCCACAACTCTGGAACATCCCTGAACACATACCTGGATTTCAGCTCAAATTTGCTTCCCGGGTGCCTCTAACCCTTCCACTGCAGTCACACAGCTCAGCCGCTAGCCTGGGATCCTGAGAACTAGCTACCTCTCACTCTGGACAGAAGGTTTCTCTGTGCCTACTATTGTTCTGTGGGGTCACATATAACACTGCCCCGCCCCAACAGCTGTTTCCTTCTTCCCTGAATTACATTGAGGACACAATTGCCTGGGTTAGTCACAAGGTTTTAGGAGCATATCTGAGAGAGGGACAGGAATATCTCAGCCAACTTATATATAGTTTGAACAGAACCTATTGCCCCTGGAGAATAAGAACCTAAAATGCAAGTTCCTAGACTGTGGTGGAAGATGATATGATGACACTCATGAACCTAAGGACCAGAACCTATCAGTTTATGTAGCATGGGCTTCCTTACCTGATTCGTAGGCCCTCTCCATAGGGCAGGACTGAAAAGGCTGCACACAGGGACCGCTTGGCACAGATGAGTACAATCCTGTGGGAGGTCCAGGTCAGAGCAGGGCAGTAACTCTGTCCTGCCTACATTTGGGTAATGAGAAACTGCTAGAGCCACAGAGGGGACTTGGATTTAAGAAGCCAGGCCTAGCATGTTAGCACTTGGGCCTGACTCCTGAGAGTTGTTTAGTAAGCTCCCTATTCCCAGGCACAGAGCATTAGGAGCACAGTAGTGCTGCTGGGTAGGTCTCCACTGGCCCTGTAACATACAGGGCCATAGATTTCATGTTTCCTGGGAGCACAGTCACCCAGGAAAGGGCAGCCTTGTTTGCACAAAGGGCCACAGGAAGGTGCCAAAGTTCAGTGTCAGGATGCAGTGGTCCAGACAAATGCAAAACCTAATGTTACTGGAGACCATTCAGATCTAATATAGAGCTCCGCTATCCAGGGGGCTTAGCAGTGCTCAGAGCTGTAATCACAGGCTACCCTACAGTCTCGGTGCTCAGGATTTGCAGGGAGCTACTTCTGGCCAGGCCCTGTAGTAATATTCCCTGGGGACACTTACCAGGTGACCTACAGGGGAGTAGGGGGAACTCTGGGATCAGAGTGACTGGTAGTGTGTCAGCAAGGGACATGCTCAGCACTGCTCCTGCACCAGTGCAGCAGGACATGTGCAGCTGCCCAGAGCCCAACTTAGCACTGTTCTGGGGAGTCAAATACCAGTTTGAGTTAAGCCTCCTACAAGTCCCCTAATATACTACATCTCCTTCTGTGTGTCCCCAATGTGACTATGCTTCCTTTTATGTGTTCCAAGTATATCTGTGCCTTATCCTGTATATGCTCCCCAAATATGACCACACCTTCTATCGTGGACACATTTAGGGTGGGGCCCATGTTTGCCTTTCCAGTTCTCTTTTTCCCAAAGACTTGTGTCAAGCTAGTGGCTCTTCCCTGGATTGTACAGTGGTGGCCATGTTAGCCAGTGTTTAAGTAATAAAGAGGAACACAAGTGCCCAAACCTAAAGGGGACAGGCCATAGGCGATGAAACAGGAGCCCCATGAACTGAAGTTGCTGCTGCCAACAAGGGTAGGGCCTGGGACCTCATATGGCCTCCAGAGATGTGGTCCTGCAGTGTAGGCCAGGCCCTATACTCTCTTACCTGCTGTTCTTTGTGTCATACTGCCTCATGTTCTTGATGAAGTGGGTTTTCTTCAGGCCTTTATGTCTTGGTGATCCAGATGCATGCTTGGTTCTGTAAGGTAAAAAGCATATCATTCTTGCCCTCCCTGGACCTTCTTGGGCCGCAGAGGTCAGAGGCTCAGGGCCTTGGAGCAGGGGCAGGTAGGGTGTATACCTCTGCACCGAGGCACATCCCACTGCATCTTCCAGAAACTCGAGGGAACAGCGCTGAGATGTGACTCGTCTCCTGTAGGAAGACATTATGACCTCAGAAGAGACAGCACACAGACTCCAGGAAGCCTTTGCAGCCAGGGTTTCTGAACAGAACTAAACTAGTGTGGGAATATGCAGGCAGGGCCATCACGAAACTGAGAGGCTTCAAGACCCTGTGAACCAAGACTGTAGCAGGGAGTGGGGGTGGGTGGAATCATTTTTCCTGCCACAAGGCTGCCAACCTTTCCTAAGTGGGAGTATCTGGTGCATGACAATTCCAGTACACACACATACACAGACACACACATATACAGACACACACCTCACAGGAGATGCTCCTGGGTCTAGAACATTCTTTTCCAAGTATGCAACTAAGACTCTCCCCCTGGACTTTGGGTTCTAGCTCCATGTTGTCAAATGTCAGTCAAACAGGGTCTAAGGTACTGAAGCTCAGAAATGCCTATCGTTGAGGACAAGGAAAATATATGCATGTCAGGCACGGGGATGTGGAAAGATAGGATCACATGGGGAAGCTGCTACTACCACATAGGCTGAGCTCCAGCTTATTACCAGAAACTTCTAAAAGTAAGAGCCCCTGGGCCTTTAGGATCGGCACCTGCAGATCTGAGTATGCCCAGTAAGAAACAGGCCTTTCGTACTGGGATGCTAGGGGATTTATGTTCCCTCCAAGTCTGTATGTTAACCTGGGATTTCAGAACATGACTGAGCTTGGAGATATGGTGTTTACAGAGATTAGCTGAGGTGGCCCTTAATCTAGTGTGCTAGTGTCCTTAAGATTAGGGCAAAGACACACAGAGGGAGGACCATGTGATGACAAGGAGGACAAGTCTATGAGGCCAAGGGTGAGGCCTCAAAGGGAGCCTGCCACACCTTCTTGGGCTTCTGGCTTCCAGAATGTGAAAAATAAAAGTCTGTTGTTTGGGGGCTGGAGAAATGGCTCGTGGTTAGGAACACTGGTTGCTCTTCCAGAAGACCCAGATTCAATTCATAGTACTCACACATGGCTCAATACCATCTGTACCTCCTCCAGTTCTAAGGGACCCAACACTCTGCTCTCTGTGGGTACTAAGCAAACACACAGTACACAGACAAAGAGGGAGGAAAAACACCCATACACACAACTTATCAGCCCACTGTCTACAAGGGCTTTGGAATGACTCTGGACTTCATTGGTGCAAGGTGCTCCCAGGGTGCCTGGCAGGGCTGCTGTGTGCTTTCCACACACAGGTCCTTGGATGGTGCTGAACATTTTGGCAGCAGCCACTTACACTGAGGAGCTGTGTGTGGTGAATTATCAGGCCCACATTGTCCCTGCAGCATCACTGACTGAGGTCCCTTTCCAGCAGGACAGTTGGTTTGCATGAAGTGTGGAATGGTCAAACCCCTACCTGCCAGGTAGGCCCTGGCAGATCCCCAAACCATGCCCTTGCCTGTGCTTGTTGCAGAAGCAGACGATAGATCTGCTACCTCACATCAGCACTTCAGAGGCTGTGACACTCACACACAAGTGGGGGTGGCATAGAGAGGCCAGTCTGTGGAAGGTCACACAAACAGTACAATTCAGTCCAGGTCCTGGTGGGCTCTGAGACTGTTGCGATGACCCAAGTCCATAGTTCTCCCTTCTTACCTACACTGTCACTTAACCCCACGAAACAACAAAAAGCATAGGAGCTTGCAGGAAACTAACCCAGGTGAGCTGACTAAAGCACTTGCTGCTTTTGGTGCCACCTCCAGAGGACCCTTTCCTGACTAACTGGGCCTATGGTAGGAACAAGACACCAGCCAGAGAAGAGAGTGGGCCAGGGGGAAAGGTTAGGGGGCCTACAACAGGAGGGACTGGACCAGTCAGAATGGCAGGCTCAGACAACCTTACAGACTAGAAAGGTACTGTATGAGTGTTGGGTGGTGGGAGGCAGAATCTGCCCAGGGGAACTAGCCAGGGCTGGAAGCACAGGTCTGGAACAGAGGAATGCAGCTGGCCTGATGTGGGACAGAATGTAGGACCTGAGGGAAGAGCCTGTTCTGAGGCCCTTAGGGCCACCTGCCTGCATGGCATTCCCTGAGGTAATCATTCAGGAAACGTCGGGTGGCTGATCATGGCCCTGGGATCTCATTTGCAAGTCCAGAGAGGCATCGTGGGAGAGCTGTGGCAGATCTTAACTCAGTTGCCCAGCTTGCTCTTCTTGCTATTTTCTGGTCTCTCTAGGGATTGTGTGCTCCCTCGGCGCTTGTGCAATGTTCCTAGTTGGTCTGATATCTTGTCCCCTGTGGTTTTCTCTTTCCTCAGAAGCATGCCCTTCCCCCCCCAACAGGGTTTCTCTGTGTAGCTTTGGCTATCTGGAAACTCACTCTGTAGACCAGGGCCTTGCTTGAACTCAGAGATCCACCAGCCTCTGCCTCCCAAGCACTGGGATTAAAGATGTATGCCACCATGCCCGGCAAGCATGTTATTTGTAAATTTAATCCCAACTGTACTAGATAGGCACTACTCTTTTTCAGTTTCAGGTAGGGAAACTGAGGTACAGAGCCATTCAACTTGTCTAAAATCAAACAGCTGGCAAGAGTAAGAGGCCCACATCCACAGCTTAGCTACTCTGAGGAAGGGCCAGGTTCTCCTAGCGAGACCCTGTACCCAAGAGACAAGACAGGATCACAGTCACAGTGTGCCCTGAACTGACCCCGCTGGGAGTGGTAATCATGTTGGCCAGCACAAGGGCTGACATGTGAGATGTGAGTGTGTATGATGCTCCAATATGACACTCTGTGACAAAGGTGTCTTGGTAAGGAGATGGTGAAGGAGGGTGTGAGGAAACCCAGGGACTGTTCTCTGTGCACAGTGGCAGTGAATGGTGTATATGCACAAACATACATGGGGAGCCGCACACTCAGTTTCCATGTACTGTTCCCCGTATACCTGGAATCTCAATTTGGAAACAGCTAAAAGCAGACAAACACTGAAGAACAACTGCACTTTCTGTTGCCTGAGCTGACACTCCTCAAAGAACCAGGTAAGTCCAAGTGTGGCAGACCTGGGCACAGTGCCTCAAGCTGCACATTTATACAGAACAGTGTCTTCCCTAGCTCCATATGCATGTGCCTTAGCTCCAGGGCAAGTGCCAGAGCCCTCTACAAGTGACCAGGGGTCAGGAATGAGAGGCAGGTTGCTAAGAGAACTATGCCATTTAGCATTACACTTTATTCACTTTGTATCCCCCCATAAGCCCCTCCCTCCTCCCCTGCCGATCCCACCCTCCCTCCCCTTTCTGCATGCATGCCCCTCCCCAAGTCCACTGATAGGGGAGGTTCTCCTCTCCTTCTTTCTGAACTTAGTCTATCAGTTCTCATCAAAAGTGGCTGCATCTGTTTTACTAAGTTCTGGTCAGAAGTTTTAAAGAGATTATGTTGATTTTATGCATGCATTTTATGCATGCAGCTGACCTAACAGCTCAAAACTGCCCCTTAGGAACCTTGCTGCCAAGGGAGTCGCTTCCCTGCTCTTCAGTCAATATCTGAAACCTGATGACAGACCTTAAAAACAGCTGGTATGTGACAGGCTTTCGTACTTGGTGATTTGGGAGATGGGGAGAGGTCTAGAGGCACGGCCACCTCCCTGTGGTTATGATTCTATGCCCATTAGGGATCCAAGGAGAGTGAATGGGCTGTGAAGGCTCGGGACAGACTGAGTAGCCACCTGCCCCATGATAGCCTCAGTGAGAAGCCTTGGCAGTACCTCCATCCTTCCTGGCCAGTGTGCTCAGAGCCCTGGAGCCTCCCCTGCTAAGGATGTACAGACTGCAGCCATAGTCTCATCAGGGGCTCGGGGCTCTGTTCACATGAGTATGACCACATCATTTGGCTTATTGCAGACTCATATCTTCTAAATAACAAACAAATAAAAAAGAAAACAAAAACAAAACAACCGAAAAAACAAACTCCCAAACCCCCAAACCCCATGGTCCCCTGATAAGTCTCAGTCTTAGGCAAAGCTAAGGTGCCTGGTCTCAGCACTCTGTGTAGAGGCTGGTTATCTAGCAGTTTCACAGAGGGAGGCAGGGGCCAGGTACCTAGACTGACTAGAGAACTGACCACTCCAGTGGTTTTCAGCCCTTAGTAAGCAGATGCTGGGCAGAGACTAGTCTTTGGATGCAAAGTGGCTCAGGTGCTACTTAGGACTGGCCTAGGCCCTTCTTCCAGACCAAAGTGGAGCACAGCCTCCTGCCTCTAGGCTATGCCTGGCTCTCTGATGGTGGGTGCATTAGGCCAAAATTTGCAAAGTCATTTGCCTGTGGGGACTTTCCCTTCCGCCTCATTTCTGCAGCAGATACTAAGCAGGGCTGTTGTGAGTTGAAGTAGTTCCCTAAATAGTATAGGAAGGGATCAAGGTAAAAGGAGGACAAGGAAAAGTCCGTGAGGTCACACACAGGAAGGAACCCCACATGGAGACAAGATGGATCAACACAGCATAAGCCACCGCACCTGAGGCCTGTAGAAGCCACACAGGATAGGAAGCTACAGCTCAACCTCCAATGACTGGCATCCAGGGCTAAGGAGACAAAAACTGCTCCTGCTGAGATCTGTCGCCATGACCCTGGAGGTACATACACGGGCTTTCTAGGCGGAAGGTAGCAGTGGGTGAGTTAGCTGGAAGACACACTTCAAACTGACCATAGATCCTAAAGATGGACCTACCCCAAGGCATGCAGTAAAAAGACAATCAGCAGTGCTACAGCCCTATGCAGAAAACCAGCAGTGGTTCGGTCACTAGCTAGAAAGCTCTAGAGCTCCAAGTTGTAACCATCAGCTTTACCAAGTCCTTAGGCTCATGTGACTTTAGGGAGGAAGAGCTTCAGGTCAGCCTATTCCACAGAGGGAGAGACTGAGACTAAGAGACCCATTAGATGTTGAAGGTCACAGAGCAATTGATGGAAGAAGGCTAGTCTGCACTCATTATGACACAGCCTTCAGGAACAACAACAGATCAGGGAACTAAGTCTGGGAGCCAGTGCCCCCTTGAATAGGCCAGCAACTATGATCTCTCCTAGCCACAGGCCGGGGAGGGTAGACAGTCCTGCTGAGGGCCTGTGCCCACGTAACAACTCTCCAACACCAGGGCAGTGTCAAGAACTAGGAAGCAGAACCCAGGACGGGAAGCCACAGGCAGCTGTAGTTCTGATAGCAAGGATATCAGAATGAAGTGGAAGGCAGAATCAGGAGGGTGGCAGGGTACCAAAGTGTGCCTCACCCACACACCAGCCTGTTCTTCAGTTCTCTGCCCCTGCCCTCCACAGGGGGTCCAGCTAACACTAGGACCCACTGGGTCCTTCTATGTCCTGTGCAGAAGCTTGGCCTGGACCCTCCCTGCAGGCTAAGGTGGTGACCATAGAAAGCTGAGGTCCTTCTGGCCACATAGGCATGTGATGCTGGGTCAGATGTCAGACAACTTTCCCCACCACAGACCTGGGAGGCACTTCACTGTGAGCCTATAACTTCTCCATGCTCAACTTGCCCAGGGCTTTCATACCGTATAGCAGCACCGTATAGCAGCACCGTATAGCAGCAGGACCTGCCCAAAAGGCAGTAGCGTCCAGACCTGGCTCCTACTGTCACTCTTCAGGTGAAGAGAATGCAAGAGGGGGCAGAGGAGGCTGAGACTGCCATGGGCCTGGTGGGCACAGCCTCGGGGGTAGGGGAGGAAGGAGTGATTAGGAATAAGAGCTGCCCTGGGCTAGGCTGAGGGGCTTCTAGAATGACCCAGGCAGGGCTGATGCTGCCAGATCACTTCAGCCCAAGCCAAGGGCAGATGGGGCTACAAGCTTCTCTGACTCTTGCATGCTAGGGTGATGGGCCCTTAAGTACTAGAATGAAGGCCCCTAGGGCCACCCTGACCCCAGCATCGCATCATGGGCCTAAGAACCCCCTCCTCTAGTCACCCAACACCTTGACCCTAGGCTGGTGGGCTCAGGTCATCCGGACCCTATGTCCTGGGCTGACCAGTCCGGTTCACCCAGATCTCTGAGTGCTAGCTGATGAGTCCTACGTGACCACACCTGCGTGCTGGTGAATGGACCCACCTCAACCTCAGCCATGTCCAGGTCGGCGTAGCTTGTGGTTTACCCGAATTCTTGTGCCCTGGGCTGCCGAACCCACAGCTCAACCACCCTGTGAGCTGGGAGGATGGACGAAGCTCACCAGCACCTGGGCTGACAAGCCTGTCAGGGGTCACTCACCCGGCGCTGGCTAGGCCTCTAGGCCACCCCAACCCGTGTGCAGCCGGCCCCGCCCAGCTCACTCACCTCTGGCGCTGCCCGTCCAGACCGAGGCCGGCGGGCGCGGTGGTGGGGCTGAGCAGGCCCTGGGGCGCGGGCCTGGCTGGCAGGCCCGGGAGGCCTCCGGGTGGAGCGGGCGGCGGCGCGGGCGGCTCGCGGGCCTCGGTGGGCGGTGGCGGCGGTGGCTTCTCGCCGCCAGGACCCAGGCTCGGGGGCCGTCCGTCCAGGGAAATGTTGTTGAGAAAGAAAAGAGCGGCCTGGCGCCGCCGGGAGTCCCCGCGCCTCCGCGGCACGGACGGCGGGTTCCGGGAGGCCGGCGCGGGCCTGGCGGGGCCGGGGGCCGGACCCGGGGCTCCTCCCGCCGCGGCAGCGGCCATGCTCGAGTGCGCCGCCGCGCCGCGCCGCCGCGCAGCTGCCTATTGGCCGCGGCGCGCCTGCATGCAAATATCACTCCGTCACTCCCGCCCATTGGCCTATGCAAATATAGTCCTACTGTCCCTGCCCATTGGCCGCAACGCACCTACATGCAAATGAGGCTCCTTTGAGCCCTTCCATTGGCTAGCGAGAAGTATTTTGCCCTGAGCTCCCCTGGGTCCTAGAGGTGGTTGTCTTTTGTTGGTTACTGGTTTGGCGTAGTAGCCACGAGGCTCTATACACCACAAGGTCGGTGGGTACATGAGCCTGTGTCCTGTTCTCAGATCCAGGACGCACTGTGTGGGACACCTTGCCACGAATGCTCATTAGGGGACTCGGGGGTGTGGCCACTTGCCCTCCAGGTTGTTTCTTCAGAGCTGAGGTTCCTCTGGGCTGGGCATCCTTAGCAGCCGGGTTATGCCAGTGGACCCGTCTGGCCTCCCTCACTGACTGCAGAAGACACCCATCTATGGTGTGAGGACAGCTGGCACCTTCCTGGGTTGTGTCCGTCTCAGCATGGACGTGGTCTTGAGTCTGCGTGGTGCTGGAACTTCTGTTTCCTCTATGGCCTGGTGTCCAGGGCTTGAGTATACAGACCTCTGTGTGTGTGTGTGTGTATCTGTGTCCTTCACTCTGCCACCACCTGCTCTTTCCCGCTCCCAGCTTATGTGAATTTCTTGTCTTTAAAGTGGGACCTTGGTGTTCGGTGGGTCATTGAGGACGCACGAAGGAAACTCTCCCTGATGTTCTGGTCACTGCCTGCTCTGGTCCTGTGGCTACTACAGCGGACTCCGGGTGGAGTTTGGACAGGGAACCCTGGGAATCACTTTTTTACTTGGGAGGAGAAGCCATTAGTGGTGTGACCCACAGGAGGCCACAGTTCCCTCTCTGCCTTCTAGGCTCAGGTGGGCAGATCCTGTCACATACCCCCTTCTCTCCTTGGCAGGCTCCCTCTTTCTTCCCTGCCTTTCCCAAGCTGGCCCCTACCAGGGATCAGTGATAAGGTGGGCAGTTTTCCTTTCGAGTAGAATGCAGGGCATGGTCCAAATGTGTGGTGGGCACTCCCAGAGAGTGACATTTCTGTCAGAGGGAAGCACTAAACCCTGAAGGGGTCATGGTGTCTGTTGACCTGGGTGTGGCGCCCATCACACCCAGGCTGCTATTCGCAGCCACTGTCTGCAAGTGACCATGGGAGTGACTCGCCTTTCTGAGTTTGGCCCCCAGTGGCATGGAGTGCTAGCTGTATGCCTAATCTGCCTTGGCATGGGTGATTGAGATGTTGTAGTGCTGGGTCTGTGGCACAGTGCTGTTAGGTCCTTGCTGCTAATGTGATGGGGGAGGGGACAACAAACTTGTGGCTGTCAAGTGGGAATGGCGAGGACCTAGCCCACGATGCCTGACACTGTGGGCCATGTGAGGTGCTCGACGGACATTTAGGCAGGGGCTTGGCTGCTTCCTTTGTGCGGTGTTGTGGTTTGTTCCCTCACCAACTGAACCTGACCCGGAGGTCAGAGGGAATAGAGCATACAGCTTGTGTTTTATTTAATTTTGAAAAAAAAAAACAAAAAAAACAAAAAAAACAAAAACCTCAAGAAACCCGTGACAGCAGTTTGAGCACACACATACACTCACGCACGCACCCACCTACGCACACGCACACATACCCCTGAATGTCCCTTGGAATTTAGTCCTTCTGGTCTGTCAGGTGACAGGGAAGGGAGGCCACTGTCTGCCCAGGGGAGAACGGTACCTCATCAAGCCCAGACCTCACCCGGCTCCAGTGACAGCTTCCCCCATTCTGGAAGTTCCAGACTCTTTACAGTTGTGCTCGCAGCACCCTTTATGCCGTCGTTCCTTCTACCTGGCTTGGCCAGCTTGGGCTTCCTTACTCAGTAAAGTGAGCTCTCTTTAGTCTTTACCTTGACCTCTTGGCAGACATCTAGATGCTTATGAAAGTATGCTAGGAACTGCACACTTCAACTCATGCCTCAAATCCGAATTTAAGCTTTAGCTGCCACCTTCTTTGACCTCCGCAAGGTGGCTTCTCTCTCTTCCTTATGTCTGTCCACACTGGACCCTGACTCAGTGCTTTTACCCCTTAGCCTACAGTGCCCGTCTCTGCCCTGGGAATGGCTGTTCTTAAACTTTATACACACAGGAATTTTCCTGAGTCTCTTCAATACCTTCAGCTCCAGTGGCCCAGGACTGATTCTTAAGCTCAGAGACCTGCCTCACTAGCACCAGGTTGTCAGAGCGCAGGAGCTCTGCAGAACATAAGGGCCGCCTTTGCTCTGTCTTCCTGTCCTTGGATCGAACTAATCCTGGGTCACATGGCTCAATGACTCTGACCTCAGCCCTGCCAGCTACAGATATTGCCATTTGTATTCTTCTCTGAGCTCTTCGGAGTCCTCATCTGACCAGGCACCCTGCGCGCGGCCTTTTGCTTTTCCTCTTTGCTGGCTGCATTTGTCTAGACGCCACAAGGGGGCGCCTGAGACTGCTGTCTGAAGCTTCTTTCCTGCCTGGAAAAGTCCGCAGGGTTCGGGCGGGACCTCCAATTGCATCAGGAGGTGGGGGCGTTGCCCAGAAAAAGAAGCTGGGCTGGGGGTCCCCTATTCCCAGCCTTGCCTCCAGCGGTAGGTCCATTTTCCTGTTACAGGGTTGGGAGTGGGGGGGGAGCTGCCCGGAGACTGGGGAGGGGTTGTGGCTCACCAGCCCCTCTGGCAGTGAGGGGCTATGTACACTGACTGTTGCAGGCTCTCTTCAGGTTGGGTGGTTTGACTTGTGCAGGCAATAGTCTGTGACCGACAGCTACCTCTGGGCAAGCGCAGTGTCCCTCAGCCTGGTGGGTTAGGACTCCCGACAGCTGTTAATGGAGGAGAGGCTGAAGTCCTCCATGTCCCGTGGGCTCCTGGGACCTTCCTCTGGTGTCAGGGTTTCCTTTGGTTTCCTCTTCCCTTGAGACGGCTTCTTGGGGGCTGTGGGAAATTCGAAGTTAGGAGAGACATGGCAGCAGCCCTGTGGACTTGTATGTTCTCCCTAGAGGTTTTTCTGACTTTTCAGCTTCTAGGCTCGGAAGAGCCCAACTCGGTGAAGTCAGTTGGCCACTCTTTTTTTCCTGACAAGGTAGTGAATGGCTGGGGAATGGGAGGAGAACCACAAGAGTATGGCAGAGGGCCACCCCCGTCACAGAGCCTAACCCCGGGGTCTCTCTCACTGCTGCAGAGCGGCTGGGACCCTGGCTACAAGGAAGGGGATCTGATCTGGGCAGGTGACACCTAGGACCTCCTGAGATGCCAGGTCTATGGAGCAAACCTGTGGCTTTGGGCCAGTTAACTCATCAAGCCTCCGTTTCCCCACCTGTCAAGCAGGGTCAGTTCTACCTACCAGTCGGAGGAGTTAAAAGCCCAAGGCAGAGACAACTTCGTATCCCTCCCAGTCTGCATGGCTCAAGATAATGCTGGGATGTGTGTCGCCCTGCTAGGTAAAGTGGGAGCGTGAATGAGCCTTACAGGACATGAGCCTGTTCTTACTGACTTCCAGACAGTTTCCTGGAATAGAGGAGTGCTACCCACAGGATGCCTGGTGCCAGCCATCCTTTGCCCAATTCTAGCTGGGAGGATAAGGGGGAGAGGTGGCTTACTCAGTGTGAAAGTTGGAGGGTGACACACTGGTAACCTGGTGGACCACACCTCACTTCATGTGCACATAGCAGGAAGTGCTTGGAAATGACACAGGCACCCTGGCCTCCACTCGGAGCAAACACAGGCTGCGGTCAGTCCCTTTCCGGCAACAATGGCTTATTGTGGTAGGCCCGGCCAAGCCTGCTGAGCTGTAGCCTGGGCAAACATAGGCCACATGCATATTAGCTTAGGTGTTCAAAGACTCGCCATTGTGCATTGGAGCAGGAAGTATCCTGATACTCTTACCCGGGACCAGGCTGAGATTCCTGCTATCTTATCAGGCAGAGTGGAGCTCAAAGGCACCGCCCTGGGCAAACACGTGAGCAACCCTAACACTGAAGGAACACACACCCCAGGGCCGGCCAGATGTGCTTCTGTGCCTGCCCAAAGGTCCAGGAAGAGGGTCCAAGGATACCAGTCCCAGGGAGCTGCTTGCAGAGAGACAGTAATAAATGTCCTCAGTTCCTCTCTTTCTTTCTCTTTGTGCCTTTGAGGCAGGAGCTGATATAGCCTAGTCTGGCCTTGAACTTGCTACATAGTTGAGGAGGATGATGTGATTCAACATTGCTTCCCCGTGTCTGGGTGTGGTGCTGTACACCTTTAATCCCAGCACTCAGGGGGCAGAGGCAGGACAGTCTCTGTGAATTCAAGGATAGCCTGGTCTACAGAGTAAGTTCCAGGCCAGTCAGGCCTACATAGTGAGACCCTGTCTCAAAACAAAAGATTGTTTTCTGTGGAAATGCCTTTTTTAAAGTGTTGGCAATGGAATCCAGAGCCTCATGGATTAGACTAGCTAATCTAGACTAGCCTAGCGGCGAGTCTGCCAGCTGAGCCAAGTCCACAGTCCCTTTCAGCTCCATTCTTATCCCATTGAAATTATGGAGCTCTGGTGTTGGTCCTCTTGAGGGAAGGAAGCTGAGGCCCAGGAGTACTGCAAGGAGGTCATTTGGTTAGGATTCATAGAGGCCCTTGCTGGGGAGGCTTGGCTTCTGTCAGGCTCTAGCTGGTCCCCAGATGTCAGGTGGCTAGAGGCACACCCATCACATACCTGGCCCTATTTGCCTCTCCAGGAGGTAGTTACCTTTGTCCTGCAGGTCTGAAACCCGCTTCCTCTTTTGTTGTGGACCCTGTGGATGGTCTTCAGCATGCCCCTCCCCTGGCATGCTTGGCTCCACACTTGCCTCAGAGGTCCTGACCACCTGGGCAGAAGGAGACACACTCAGGGCAAGGAATACCTCCTCTCCTGCCTGGGCATCTGCCAGGACTACCTTGAATGAATGGCTGAAGACCTACCTTACTGTCTGAGGTATCCGACTCTTCCAGTTGCTCCAACTCTGGCCTCTGAGCCGTGACCTTGCTGGCCTCTGAAAGACAAATGGGGTCAGCAAGGCTGGTGGCCTTGGGCATGCTGTCCAAGGACAAAGAGAATAACTCTTCAGAAGAGGATGCAGAGGGGCTGGTAACCTACCCCAAGACTCTTGCTGAGATCTGAACCCAGGCTCACCTGCTGGGTACCCTCCTGCTTGGCTCCTCAGCCCTGTGGGTTGGAGCCCTCCCTTCCTCCAGTGTGGATAGAGGATGTCTGCTGGGCCTCAGAGCCTCTATCCACAGTGGGAGAGACCCAGCAGGAGGCCAGCAGGCTGTCACTCCAACTCTCCTCCCACTGCACATCACTTTCCACTGGACTGGGGCTCCGAGTGAGGGCTTTACCTGTGGCCTCATCAGTGTCAGGCCTCTGTAGGTGGGGCACTGGCCTTGGCCTTCCTCCAGCCTCCTCTGTTGTCCTTCTAGGAGAGGTCAGACTGTCGTGGATCCCTGAGAGAGGGTGTGAGGTGTCCTGGGAGAGACAAATTAATGGTTTGAATATCTCTGTGTGTCTCCTTCCCTGAGCCAACTCAATCTTCAGGCTGTTAGTAGGTGTCCGTCCCTTTCCGTTAGAGTGTGAACAAGACAGCTGGGCTGCTCTTTGGCATCAGCTGGTGGGGCAGAGAGAAGAAGGCAGACCTAGGAGGCGTAACTACCATCTTGCAGTAGATGTGCAAAAAGAATGAGGACAGGACTGGGATCCTTACCTTGGGAGCAGAGTGTTCTTCAGGCTCCTGAGCTTTGGTCTCCGAGCTGCCGTTGCTGAGAGTGTGGGGGCTGTGAGTCAGGGGTCTGGACAAGGTGGGCAGCTGGGGGCTGGGAGTATGGACAGCTGTGGGGCTGAGAGGCAAAGGTTGGCCAGTTGACTTGGAGATGTCCCGACACCGTCCCCGGTCAGAGAGGTCCAGAGGCTTGTCTGGGGGGCAATCCTGAGTGGCCACATGTGTCTCTTTCCTCCAGGGGCTACTGTGGCCTGTAGACCGAGGGTGCCAGCCATCAGGCTGGGCCTCTGCACTCAGAGCTGTCCTGGGAGCCTCACACTCAGAGCTCTCAGAATCTGAGCCAGCTGGTGAGGAAGATGGCATCTCTTCTGGTGTGGATGGGACCCTCATCCTGGCACTGCCTGCCCGTGCCCGTGCCCGCAACTGCTGCTGGACCAGCAGCAGGTGCAATGCTCCTTCTAGCCGTGGGTCCTGTATGCCTACCAAGGCCCCAGGCTCCTCCCATGCCTCTGCCTCTCTAGCCTTCGGGCCCTGGGGCAGGGGACTATTGGCAGGTGTAGCAGGAGCCAGGGGGCTGCTGTGGGGGCTTTGCAGATGCAGAGACAGGTGTCGGTTGAGGAAGCAGAGGCGATCGGTCTGAAGGGAGCGCTTCAGGGTCTCATAGGCTACGGCTGATGGCCGGGAGGCCCGCAGGAAGCTGGGGGAAAGAGAAGAGTGACGATAGTGGCCCTTGGCCATCAAGACTGGTTAAGTGAGCTCTCAGAGAGAGGACAAAGGCACCTCAATTCATGAATGAGAAAGCAGAGGCCCAGGAAGGTCAGGCAAGCCACCTGAGGTCACATAGCCATGGGAAAGGACAGGCTGTCAGGCTTGGGCTCTGGAGATCAGTAGGTATAGAAAGTGGTTGATTTGATCAAAGAGGACCCAGAGTCTGGACACTGTGCCCTATGTCTCCTCCTGTGTCTGTGTCTTAGTTATCTTTAACTGTCAATTTGACACAGCCTAATGTCACCTTAGAAGACAGTCTCAGTTGAGGGACTGCCCAGATCTGATTGGCTGATGTCTGGCAGATTGTCTTAATTATTAATTGATATAGGAGTGCCCAGCTCATGGTGGGTGGCATCATTCCCTGGGCAAATGCCTGTATAATAAAACTAGCTGAGCTGGGAGTGGTGGGGCACGCCTGTAATCCCACGACTCAGGGAGGCAGAGGCAAGAAGATGTCTGTGAGTTCGAGGCCAGCCTGGTTTACAAAGTGAGTCCAGGACAGCCAGTGTTACACAAAGAAACCCTGCCTTGAAAAGAAAAAGAAAAGAAAAAAAAAAAAAAAAAAAAGAAAGAAAGAAAGAAAGAAAGAAAGAAAGAAAGAAAGCTGGCATCTTCTTCAATGGTTCCTGCTGTGAGTGAGTCCTCCAACAGAGGTAATGCTGCATAGACTAGCAAGCAGACCTATCTTCAAGTTCCCGCTTGAGTTTCTGCCCTGACTTCCTTCAGTGATGATCCTTGACCTGTGAGCTCAAATAAACCCTTTCCTCCTTGCTTTTGGTCAGAGTTTTGTTTCTCACAGCAACAGAAAGTGAAGCAGAAGATCTTGTGGAGGTAGAAACCAGCTACCCGAAGTTGTCCGATCCTCCTGTCCACCTTCCACAGCCCTGGTGGCTCTGCCAGACAAAGAGACTCAGGCTTTGCATAGGTCTTCTGAGGCCCTAGCCAAGGCATATGCCAGTGTCCTGCCCCACCATGGCCTGGTCACTCAGGAAGTGTGGGAGCTGTGAACCAACCCAGATGTCGAGAAAGTCAACCCCGGAAAAGATACTGAGCAGCAGTCCCCAAGCTGCTGGTCCTCTGCTCTGGGGTACCAGCAGAGAGCTGCTCCTAGTAGTGGGTGGGACCTCACCTGTCCACACGGAGGCTGTGCTCATATGTTGGGCTGGGTGGGCTGCTTCTGGCGGACGGTGGCGGGGGCGTCCCATTGGCGGTACTGCAGTCTGGTGGGCAGGCCCTGGAGCCAGGCCGCACCACGGCCACTGTTGAGTGCAGTTGGTTGGAGATGCACTGAGGGCTCTATACAGAGTGGGCAGGTTAGCCTGGCAGGGCACCTCACCCAGGCTCAGCTCCCCCACCTCCCATGACACTCAGTGTCCCTGCCTGGCCTGGGGACAGGCCCGATGGGTGTGAAGCTGGCACAGGGTACCTAGCACACAGCAGGATGCTGCTGCCAGCCCGCTTGCCTGGAAGGCACTGAGCGTAGGGGTGGGGGTCAGGAGGTGGGATCTCACCATGTCCGGGGCCCGTGACTCGGGCAGGTTGGCAGCTGGGGAGACTCTGGCCACTGGGGATGACTTGTGGCTTGACCCCTTATCTGTGATAGGAGGAATGACAGGGAACTTAGGGGACGCTGAGGGATCCCCCAAGTCTCCCAGCCTTTCCCCTAACCCTGCAGATCTGTGCCTGGCTGTTCTTCCTCAGCCTCCTCTGGACCTCCTGGCGGGATCTCAGTGGCACCTTTCCGGCTACTGGGGGAGTGGAGTGGCACGGGTGACGGGGACTCTGAGGTGCCCTCCCAGGCCTGGGATGCAGTCTTGTCTCTAGAGAGGAACAGGGAGGATGATGAGGATGTAGAAGCTAGAGCACCTGGGGCAGCCAGGCCACTCTGTAGGGCTGGATTTTGGGAAGATACAGGCCTGCTGAGTGGGTATCTGGGCCTGTGCTGTCCCACTCACCCCAGGCTCCGAAGCCTCTTCACTTCTTCCTTCAGAATCTTGTTTTCCTCCCTCAGCCCATTCATCTCATTGGCTGCAAAGAGCAGTGGCAATGGAGGCCGTAGGTCAGGGATGGAGACAAGGGATTCCTACAGTACCAGGGAAGCCCTCCTTGTTTTGCTCTAGCCTGGCACATAGCAGGAGGGTATAATAATATTACTAGCTATGAGATAGTGTTGGGTAAGCCCCAGCCTGAGGCTTGCAGAAGAGATGAAGCCTGTACCCCAGATTGTCCCTAGAACTCCCCCCAGGAAGGTCAGGAGAGCGGGGATTCCCTGGCCTAGGAACTGAGAAGAGACACAGACCATTGGGGGCCTCCTCCCACGTGTCTGGGACCAGAATATGCCATGCCTCTTCCTTTCCCTGTGGTTCTATGTGGGCTGGGGTCCCTGGGCTGTGGGTGTGGCTCACTGAGGATGCAGAGATGCTGCAGGCTTTGCAGGTGGGCACTTTCCAGTTCCAGCTGCTTCTTCTTGGCCAGCTCCTGGGTGACCATGCAGCGATCGCACAAACCAGCCCGCAGCCTGGGAATAGGAGAAGCCATACAGAGGCAGACATTCTGCTTCCTTCTGCCCCATTGCCAAGTTGCCTTTCCGCATTGTGTTCCACAGACCCCCAGGCCTGCCTCCTGCTGAGGGCTTAGCAGTGCATTGTAATTAAGTTTGGGAAGGAATCTTAGAAACGAGGTTCTCTTAAGTTTCTGCAAAGCCCTGCAGTGGAGACATCTCTCTGGTTTGGTCTGTGTAAAGGCCCTCAGATTGGTTCTGGGAGGAGCCACCTCACCTGTTCTCCAGCACCCTCAGGTTCTCCTTCAGTGCCTTCTGCTGCTCCCGGAGCTGGTGATTCTTGGCAAAGAGCTCCTCTACCCTCTGCGTGTCTCTGTGTGACAAACAGCTGAGGTGGGCTGCTGGTTTGGATGCCCAGTGTAGCCTGGGTCGTGGTGGGTTCTCCCTCGCAGCTCCCTGTGGGGTCCTGTCCTGTCTTGTCTTATATTTGTGTTACCTTAGCTATGGCACATATGGACCTTGGTCTAGTCCAATGGTTCTCAACCTGTGGTCGTGACCCCCGTAGGGGTGTTGAACGACTTTTTCACAGGAGTTACCTGAGACCATCAGAAAACATAGGTATTTACATTACAATTCGTAACAGTAGCACAATTAAAGTTATGAAGAAGCAACAAAAATAATTTTGTGGCTGGGAGTCACCGCAACATGAGGAACTATCTAAAAGCGTTGCAGCATTTAGAAGGTTGAGAACCACTGGTCTAGTCAGAGATGGGACACAGGAGGGTGACCTGCAGGCCAACCACAGCAATTGAGACTGAGCTGGGCCTCACAACAAGAACTGTCACTGGTACTTTGATCTCCCTCAGTCTCCAAGTGGAGGACTGATGTCTCAATGGTCTAGTCCTAGCTCTTCACCTAAGTAGTATGTCACCTTGGCCATTCTAAGCCTCAATTTCTCTTCTTCATTAGGGATGCTGGGTGGGCTGCCATTAGGGATGCTGGGTGGGCTGCTTAGGGGCAGTGTGAGTGGCCATGGCCTGTGGGAACAGCTTCCCTCCTGCCTGCTCCTCTGGCTCTGCTGGGCTGACTCACCGGCACCGCTCTGAGTTCAGTTCCAGAAGCTTGTTCTGCAGGCCTGGCAGACGGGACAGAGAAGGTGCGTGTCAGACCAAGCCTAGCTGCCTTCTCATAGCAGTGGTAGGGCTGAGGAGTGACGTGGGAACTCCTGCCCTGGCTGTCTAATCCAGACCCCTGATAGCTGCCTGACTCTTGGGGGCAGCCCCTGGGAAGGGTGTGGGGAGGACACCCCATTTGCACCACTGTTCAGATGTTATGTTTTCCTGACCTGTGGCCTGGGACCCTAGCTCAGCATCTGATTAGAGATTGGCAGAGACCCTGGTGCTGGAAGTGGCTGGCCACTCGGGAGGAGCAGAGTATCTAAGAGGGGCTCCTTTTTGAGGGTGGGGAGGAAAAACTAGATACAGACCTGCCAATGTCTGCTGGGCTCACAGAATGGATGTAAGACCTGGTACTTGTGTTTCCCTTCTAGTTAGTTCTATTCATTCCTCAGATCAGCATAATCTCTGAGGGTAGGGCTGGTCATCTACTCTCTCAGCAGTTGCAAGTTCTTGGCCTCTGGGGTTAAGCAGTCTCTGCCCCGCCCTGAGTTCCTGTGTAAGCAACCAAGTCCCTTAGGTATAATGAGGGTTGTCTGCCAGCCCAAACCAATTGCCAAAAAAGGTCCCCTCCTCTGTTAGGGAGTGGCCTGGTTTGCGCTTGGTCAGTGGCTACTCCAAGACTCTCAAGCTCCAATCCTATTAGCCCTAGCTTCTTTCCCTAAGCACATGGGCAGGTATTGTTTCTGTTGCTTCCGGGTCATTTCCCATAACACTAGATATGAAATAAACAGGCTTTCAGAGCAAGTCCCACAAGACCCTCTTCTCACTGCCACACTTCTTTGGCATCCAGTGAGGCTGATCCCAACCTGGCCTGGGGGTTCCCAGAAAGACAGCCTGACTTCTTCCCTGAGGCCCAGGGAAGTGGCTGGCTTCTTTGACCTTCAGGTAGCCCTTTCTGGAAAGCCTCCAAGGACTGAACTGGAATTGCAGTGAAGTGTGTGTGTGGGGGCACCGTGACCATTGAAGAACTTAGCAGGAGCTGGAGGGAAGGAGGTGTCTGTGTGCTGCTGCAGACACTTCAAATGGCCTCAGGAGCATCTAGAGTGGGCGGCCTCTCCCTCTGGGTGAGATGAGCCATTGGGCTTGATCTGCCAGTCCTGAGAGGACACAGCAGGGACGTGCTTGTGGTCATGAGGTGTTGATAATGACCCCTGATAATGCCCCTCTTCTGGTCCACACCATAGGCTATAGTCTAAAGGCATTCCGGATGAAGCAGTGCTCACAGCCAAGTCTGGGCCAGGCTGGGCATCTGAACACTTTGCAGCTTGTGTCCTTGGTGTCGGGATCCTGTCCTCCAGCCACACTTACTGAGCACTAGAGGGGATCCTCAGAAGCTCCCTGACCTGTCGAGACCCTCAAGACCATCTCCGGTTGAGCGCAGTAGAGCCTTCCATTGACCACTCACCCAGGACCTCCTTCTCATGGGCCTCCTTCAGCCTGTTCAGGGATTCCATGAAGCTGTCCATGACTCCTAGTGTGCTGGCCACTCTGCACTGGCTGTGAGGAGGGCTGGGACCTCTACTTCCCTTCTGTGTCCAGCCTGTAGAGAGGGGAGTGGAGAGAAGGTTGGCTTAGGAAGGGGCTGTGGGCTGAAAAGTAGGTGAACTTTTCATGTGTGGGGCAAATCTGCTCACTGTGAGGGGATGCCCAGGGGTAGAGGTAGAGAGTGAATGGTAATGTTTGGAGGGTAGAGGCTGAAATGGTTAATAGTGGAATCTCCATGGGGTCAGAGTAGTGGCACTTGACTTCTGGAGTACTTGACTTCTCGAGGCTGGGCTGGGAGTGGGATGAAGGGACCCTGAAGTGTAGTGGATTCTTTGTCACACAGTGGCTGTGGTGGCCACAGGAACTTACTGGGCAGAGACATCTATGGTGTAGGGAGAGAAACCAGGAAGAAGGTGAGCTCCCAAACTGGTTTTACAGACCCACCTAGACTCCAATTCTCTTATTGCTGGCCACTGTAGTGGAAGTGATGGTTGGTGGCTCTGTGTTTGGTGGGTGAAGGGTATGGGAATGAAGAATTGGGAGGTTCCACAACTGGAGGCTGGAACCTGAGGCTCATCTCAATGAGGGATGTCCTTGTGGGTTAGCTAACCACCCCAAGCCTGAGTACCAGAGGCTGAGGGGCCCCGGTTTTAGGTCACATGACTCTAGCTGCCTTTTTGCTCCCCTGAATTTAATACAGTTGTCACTTTCAGCAGAGCCATCTAATCCTCAAGACATCTCAGGGACTTTCTCTCCAAGTGGGAGAACTGAGGTTCAAAGAGATCTCCACCTCTTTCATTGGGGGAAGTAGACTTTAACTCAGACCTTGCTCATTCATCTAGTGTGCGCCTGGGATGCTTTCAGTGTGCCTGTATGCTCAGTTGTGTAGGCTTTACCTTGCTAAAGGCTCAGAGAGTGGGACCGGCTGGCTGGGACAAACAGGGCTAGAAAGGGGCTGAGCCGGCACCTGCAATTCCACCCAGACTCGCCCAGCGGGTGGCTCTTCCCAGGCCCCTAGCACCTGCGGTATGGGCTGGGCCCACACTTGTAAAGGAGCCAGCCAAGGGATCCTGAGGTGCCTGTAGGCTTGGGAGAGGCCTATATGGGATCTGGGTCTACATGCTGTCTTCTTTCTGCCTTCTAGCCCATCACACACACCAGTTGGCTATTACTCTCAAGGTCCCCAAAGGGCAGCCTTGAATTCTCTGACATACACTGCCTTAGCTCCCTCCAATGTAGAAAGGTGCAACCTGTCCAAAACCCGTGGCCATGACAAAACCAATCAAGGTCCTCTTGATCCTGGATAACAGTGCTATAGGCATGATGTGACTTGCCTGATAAGCAGAGGGCAGACATACACATGACTGAGATAAAGTGGAAGTTAGTTTCCTGGGCCCAACTTGCCTTGGCTGTCCCTGTGTCTAGTTTACACCGCTCTGGATTGTTGGGGGTCTGGTGAGGGAAGGAAAAGAAGGGTGGCAGTTTCCTGGGTGCAGTCTTCAAACCTTGGCATTTTGGTGCAGAAATGGGTGACCGTGGGTAGGATGAACCTGGCTTTTAAAAATATATAGTCCATGCCCAGAGGCCTTGTGCCACCGGTCAGCAGAGCAGCTGTCCCCAGTAGGGCTTTTCTGTGAGTCTAGGCTTGCTGAAGGTGGCTAGCAGCTTGGGAGTGCAGGGAACCTTGTAGGTGGGTGTGGGTCTTTTCAGAGGCCAGCTGTATTTTGCACCCAGGTGTAGGGAGCTGTGAAAGGAAACAAGCCTGCAAGAGTTGCACAGGCTCAGTGCAGCCTTTAACCCGGAAGGGTAATGCCCAGGAAAGTGTGAGGCTTTTGGGGGCTGCAAGGAGCAGAGTGGTGATGGAGGTAGGCAGAGACCCCAAACTATATGGCTTAGGGTCACTATCCAGAAGCAGGAGTACTGCTTGCTCTCAACACCCAGGCTAGAAGGTCTGTGTAGCACCGCATCCCTGGGAAAGAGCTGGCAGTGGGATAAGTCTGCTGGATTTGCTGCTGCTGCCTGAGCAGCTTGGGAGGCAGGTACAGAGTTGTGGGTTAGCTCTACCTACACAGACAGTACACACCTTCAGGCCTATTGTGACTTCCTTTGTCTTCAAGGATTCGGGGACAGAGGTGGGGTTTGTTCAGCATCAAAGCTGACAAGAGGAAGGAGGCTGCATGTGAGATATGGCCTCTATGTGGACAGGTTGGATGCTACTGGATTCTTCCCTGCTTAGGAGAGCGTTCTGCAGAAGCCTTCTATCACATGTCCTCGCCAGGAAGGCTCACTGTGAGTCCTGCCTGCCTCCTAGGAAGCCAAGTTGAACCTCAGGTTCCTCTCCTTCCTCCCTGTTCCTCCCAGTCCCTTACTTGCTGCAGGGATCCCCACTTGCTCCATGGGATCTCTACTTGTCTCAAGGGCCCCTGTCTATACCTTTGGGTCCCCATCTATCACCCATATGCTCCGTGGAGCCTCCACTACCCCAGGGGCCCCTACCACTCCCTCAGGAGCCCCACCCAAACCTCAGACCTTTAACCTGCCTCTCACAGCTCCCCCAGTGGCCCTGAGAGGAGGCAAGGGTTTTCCATAGCCAATCACAGCAGGCCAGCCAGATGTTGTCCCAGAGGAGAGCCACAACCCCACCCCAGAGTGCTAGCCTGGTCTTTGAATATGGTTCTTGTCCTTCCTGTGTAGCCTTGGGTAAGTTGCTTCACCCCCCACTCCCAACCCCTGTTTTTTCATCTGGAAATAATGACACACCCCTGTCCTGTATTGGGTTTCTGTGTGACTTCAACCAGTATCACATATTCTAGGCAAAAGGCAGGTGGCACATATTCTGTGTGTGACAGAGGGGGCCCTGGGCCTCTTCTCTCCCTCTTGTTTAGCTCCCAGGGAGCTAACAGTGTCCTCCCTCCTTGTGACAAGCCCGAGTCTCACAAACAAAAAGACCTTTTGAAGGAGGACAAATCCTTCCCCATGTTCAGAGTGGAGGCCTTCACTAACAGTGGTTACAAAGTGCTCACCAATCCATGGGTCTTGGTGGCCATTCCCCGGGAGGTGTCATCTAGTCCCTACAGATGAAGGCTCGCTCATGGCCTTCATGGCCCCAGCTGTAGCTCACAATAAGACCAGGTACCATTGGCCCAGCGGCAAAACCCAAGTGTTTGGTCAGTAGCCATGCCTGGGTGTTATTCTCTGGGACAGGAGTCTCTGGACAACTCTTGCTGCCTGCCTACGTCACTGGCAGGGGATGGCCTCCTTCCCTTTCCCTCCTAGCACTTTCTAGAGTGCTAAATCAGAGGACACCAGTGACACCGCCCTGTCAGGCTATCCTTAATGCCTGGCCCCTCAAGGAAAGAGGGCTCTTCAGCAGACTCTGACCCTTTAAGGATGGGCTGTTGGTCCATCCATCTGATGCCCACCTATCCACAAGAAGCAGTACTGACCGCAGCGGTGGCGATGACAGCAGGTGCTGTTGTGCACACGCAGCGCCCTGCCCCTTGCAGCTCACTAAAGATTTTCTGGCTCAGGCATGTTAAAGCGATTACCCGGCCTGCTGTCTACCTTGACAGGCCCCTCCAGAGCCAGGAATACCACCAACTGTGACTGGGGCCCATTTCCTTCCCTTGGAGGAAGTATTGAGCATTCCATGCTCCCACATGCTCTTCATGGTCACCCAAGACAGTCCTATTTGACAGAGATTCGAGGTTCAGAAATGTTATCTAGCTACAATAATCAGCTGACAAGAGACATGGCCTAGACACGAACAGGCCTCCTGGCAACCTCTTGGGTCATTCTGCGTGGTGGGCTGTATTGAAAGAGGTTTCCTTGGTAGGGTGACTTCTGATGTCTCTCTGACACATAGACTCCTGATAGACAGGCAGCCACCACAGACAGAACAACCCCTTCAGTTTGAGAAACCACATCTGAGTACATGCCAAAAGTAAATGCCTTTGCACAAGCTCAGCCCATCCCCAGCCACACACATAACCCTCACACGGGGCTAGGGATGGCTGTGTACACAGGCAGGTGAGCACAGACATTTGCATGTCCCATGCTTGTGTGCACGCTGCCCATCTGGGCACAAGTAAAAGAACAAGGCAGCTTTGATAACAGCTCAGGTAACAGAGGGCCCTGCAACCTGACTCCAGCCTCCCGGTCCTGGGGGTAGGGGACCCAATAGGATAGTGACTAATGGGTGCTACTGTCTCCCACTGCCTGCTGCAGTATTGCAGCCATTGACCTAATCTTAGGGCCTGACAATGTCCCCTGCCAAGCTCTGAGCTATGGGTGGCTGGAGCTGGCCTTGTACTCCCCTCATTTCTATGGCTGCAATATCTCCGGGCCCACGAGGAGCTAGGCAGCGAGAGGTTCAGGACACAGTGCTGGCCACAAGCCTATTTCTAGCCCCTGGAAACCCCTGCTGAGATTGGGCCACAGTGCCATGCCAGATTTTGCTTTTGCTGCACCCAAACCTCTGCCCAGGAAACCCTTGAGCCCTCCTCCTCCTTGCTTGGTCTTCGGGATCAGGCATCAGGATCAGGCATCAGGTAGTCCTCCATATTACCCACAGGTGAAGGCAGGCCAGCCTGCCTGTCCCTGCCTCCCGCCTCCCAGGCCTTCTGCTTCCTGCCTCCGGCCTCCTGCTCTTAAGCCTGAGCTGGGTCTCCAGCCCCCATGGTGAGCACCCCAACAACTCCAGTCCACCCAGCTCCTGGAAGGGCCCTGCCTGCTGTAACCGTGTACTCACATGGCCACTCGGCCAGCCTTGGACCTTCAGGGGCCTCGGTCCTCAGTGATCCCCACCTGGGAGAGATAGGAGCAAAGCAGTATGAACTTGCAAGACAGAATTTTGACCAAACCCGCCTGACAGGTTTCCGATTCTCCCAGCCGGGAGCTGCAAGGAGGCAGGGACTGCCCAAAGCCACCCAACTGGTCTGGCCATCTCAAGGAGAGTGGAAGAACCGGCTGGCCATGTGCA